TGAAAAAGTCTAATAATACACTAAAATGAACCTATGGGATAATCTGCAAAATGACTAGAGGTAAATACATCGGTACAAGAGATAAATTAAAAAAGAAAGAGGGAAGTGATGAATTAAAATCCTGTAATTATATTATATTAACAAGAATCAAGGTGTTAAATAGGTTGGAAAGTTTTCAATTTATCTTACAATGTTCTGTCCCCCCTTTCACTACTATAAACTTACTAAAGGTGAATGAATTGAAAACAAAAAAAGAAAAACAAAATGAATTCACCTAACTGAATGGAAACAACTGCTTCTAATACAGCGAATAATTATTTCATATAGTTTCCTTAAACTTGTATGCTCTCATGTTCAGTATCCAGTGTTCTATATTCTTTAGTATATCTATATCAAACAATTAAATTTATTTATGTGTATTTGCGAATTGTTAAACAGACTAATATGATGTTTACAAGCTTGCGCAAAAATTTATTGATAAACTTGTCATTGCTGTTTTGATTATTGCTTTAAGTGTATACGAAAATCTAATTGAAGTATCAGTCACATTGAAAGGCTTATTACTAATGTGTTTGTATCTGTGTGTGTTCAGCGAAAAGAAAACACAAGGGTGGAATCAAACAATATGGATAAAAGTTAGTGAAAGGAAATAAATTAAAATTACACAAAAACAATCTGAAGATTAATTCGAATAAAAAATTAATACACGCGCCTGACGCTATTTCATCAATGTTACTTTACACACATACACACTTTCTCTCTGTTCCCGTGTTTTCAGTTCGTTTCATGAAATTTCACTAGTTATTCTGATCTATTATTTCTGTTTATGTTATGCATGACTTTCTTTAGATTTGTAACTTTTTTAGTATATGTGTTTTTATAGATTATTGAATTTCACTGTTTGCATCACGAACTCAAAGGTTTAAAAGTTAAGCGATGGCCTCAAGAACTAATAGTCATGAGTAAAATCCCCAGTAGGTTCGTGGACGAGCATCAGTGAAGAACCCAAAACCAAGTCGAATCGGTTGTACAGTGCTTCCTATTTCGTAATTGTTGTCTAGGGTCGGTATGTAATGTAACCTATGTAATATTTTTGTTATTCTACATTGAATATTCCGTCGCTAGATAGTTATGGATTGTTGCTGTCTGTTCGTACTAATTTTACATAAATAAAGCAGTATTTTAATTGTTTTTCTCTTCTGAATCAACTATCAAATAACGATAATAATAATATTAATAATGGCAAAACTGCTGAGGAATTCGTCAGTTAAGTTTAATATCATCAGCATAATTATACCATATTATATAACACAACTAATTTTTTCCAGCTATTTTTCATTGAGATAGTGTAATCAGAAGAGAAAGATTATCAGAACTATGTGATATGTGATCAGATTGTTCGAAATGTATTACAAGAACGTATCACATAGTTCTGATAATCTTCCACTTCTTATTTTTTTATTGACCATTAAAACATTTTTAGACAATTTTAATTACATCAAAGTAATTTTATTAAAAAGAATGAATAAATGAATGATGAAAAATATCAAGGTAATCAACAGAGAATCTATCTACTCCATAATCAATGAGTATTCATTAAAATGACTAGGAAAAATGGTTTAAATTTCTCTAGAAAGACAAATAATTTCATATTGGTAAATTACGTTATTTGGATAGTCATTAAAATAACTTCAATATTGTACATATTAATTACTGATCAAATTAAGTGATAATTCTTATATTAAAATATTGGTTAAATTGAAAGTATAAGTTATTAAATTATCCATGTATAGTTAGATAATGAACGTGATGTCATATTTATTGAATATTTATTGAGTAATTTATTGAATAATTATGAACACTATCACCAATTTGAAATATGCATAGTTCAGTGTTTTTTTGTGATGCTTCATTAGATTTTTTGTTTGTTACCAAAATCAACTATCGATTGCGTAATTTTATATTTTTATATTTTTCACGTGTGATGATTATGCTGTATCACACACATGTGGTCAAGTAAAATTAATTAATTAATTAAAAACATAAATAATAATTATATATGTAAATGTAAATAAATGATTTAATTATAGATTAATACTCCTGTTTGTACGTTAATATTCAAGGTGTCCAACAAAACTAAAGTAAACCATATATAGATATGATTGATGGAGAACATTCATGAAAGTTTGTCAATTTTCGAGGTTTACAATTGTTTAGTAAAAGCAACCTATCAATCATTTAGTCACTACGTGAATTCGTTGATATGAAATTTATCAATTACATTTTTATCCATTACAGAATAATTCAAAGTGAAATATTATTAATTTGACCCTATTCACATACATTCACAAAGTTAATAATTAAACCCACGTGTATTTCACATTAAATCTCAGTGGTTACTAGTATTATTATTATTATCATCATCACTGTTGTTTTCATTTTAGACTTGTTTACTTCTTTTTTACTTGATAGCTATTTGGAAAAATCATGTTTACAATTAAGAACAATGTGTAAATAATAATTATTATAACCACTATATTATTAGTAATGTTGATGATGTTAATATCTGAATGATATTTAAAATGCCTTTTTGAATAACAACTTATAGGACATGAATTATCAGGGTTATCGAATTGATTGTTCACAGAAATATATACTCAAGAAAAATGTTCGTTTACAGAACAGAACCTATTAAAATTGAGCAAAACTGAAAAATAGCATCAAATACAGAAGAAATGAAGTATAATTTGACTTTTTATTACTAGATCAGTCTTCCATCTTTTCGATTGTCTAATGTAGTTTTACTAGTTGTTGGGTTACTAATGTTAGTAGGTTTCTACACAAACTGGTCTTAAATCTGAATACAACAACGAATGTTTTTTTGTGTTTGCTGATTGTTAATTCATCATTAAAGAGTTCATTAGTCAAGGACACATAACATCTTCCTACTAAATCCTTTAAACTAAGCACTGATTTCAAGAAATTAAACACAAAAAATGTCAAGATGGCATTTATCAGGAATTTACTGGTCAAGTCCACTTTAGGGTAAATGAATTCATTCATAATTATATTTAACAAAATCCTAATGCACCAGTAAAAGAGAAGCATTACCAAATTTTCTTAAATAGGTATTTTTATGAGCATCACAAATCAAGGAGTTAGTTAAATCAGAATTTTTACTAAATTATTTTTACCACAGGTGTGGAGTTCAAAATTATGATTATTGTGTGGCTTGGTCGTGTAATTTTGTAAATTTGTTAGGACATCTGTGAAGCTTTTTCGGTAATGATCGAATTTGCTATATTGAGGTACACGAATACCATAGTAGAATGAAAAACTAAAACTTCTATACAAACACCTTTTAGCACTTGGGTTAGTTCGTATACAAATGGAAATGTTTGAATTAAATAGCTAAAACTAATAGTTAAAAGTCTGTTGGGAACGGAAGAAATAATCAAGGATGAATTTTCTTCCCATCTGCTATGGAATCATTCATTTACTCAATGTTTAAACCTGAAATATTCGACTTTTATTTAATTAATATTCATCATTTCTAAAGAATAACTATAATTACCTTTTTGAACATATATGAACACACATATTTCAATAAAGGATAAAATGTAATAATCACAAAACGATCATAAACTTTGGAGTCAAAAGTTGAATGTGATTTTACATACATAAAACTGTGATTAGTAGACCCATAACTGAACACTTACAAGTTTAAAAATCATGCAACTCATTATTTTAGTAGGAAATATTGTAGAGCTGTCAACACTTCTATAAAATAAAACAATTTAAATTCAGACAAAACTTATTCCACACAGTAGATTCTAAAGCATCTCATTCATTAACATCATGTTCAGTCTATATTACCTTTCATTATGTGAAACGTTAGTCTGTAATATAACTGTATACTAATAATGAATCTTGGATGTTAAGAATTGGTAGTATATTTAGTTTGGTTTACCTCAAGAAAACATACCATGATGATGTAATTTCTTTTAGATGAACATGTACCAGTATGCCTACACTGAGTGATATGCTGAGAACAGAGAAGACGCCTTATGAAACTGATGGTTTATAACTGTAGTAGACAATATAATAGATCATTTGTATTATTTTACATCTCTTTCAGTTGATTATCTTTAGGTGTTGGTTTCTTAATAACCTAATAAATTACTTGAATTTTTGTACTCCTAACATGTAAGATTATTTCTTCATGATTTAAGCAAATAACGAAAATTAAGTGAACAGTCAATTAGTCGAATCGACTGTAAATAAAAACTCAAACAGTATTTCATTATGTCTCACTAGTAATACCTTTCATGTCATATGGTCATGTGACACCGATGTTATAAATACCATTTCTTCTTTCTTTTTTTATATTAATGCAAACTTGATTTATAAAAATGTATCACTTATACCTACCATAGATATTATTACGTAATCCATTAGTACTACCACAAACTTATTTTTTATCGTATATAAAGAGTATTAACATATAGAGTTGAAATATTTATGTTTTAAAGATGTCCAAAATAAAATCAAGTCAGAGTGATTTTGTTTCAGTTCAATAATCAAAGTCCTCAGTATAATCATATTTATATTACTTTTGAGTGTATTTATGTAAGTGAATATTGAGAAGAAAAAATGCCGAAAACGAGATGAATGGAACAGAAGTCAAAGCAGACATCTAATCATTGAAGTTCTAATCCTATAATAAATTGATCATAATTCCAAACTACTCTTATAAATAAACATGATCAGGAAATAATTAAATTTTAGAATGATTTTACTTCCACCTTAATCAATGCTTAATATAGTGAACTAGCAAAATAACCAAACCATTTCATTATTGGTTGATGAAAAACTAATGACATTGAATAAAGAAGCGAAAAAATAATTAATTTTTGAATAAATAAAATAAATGAAAGTGAATAAAATATGCAATTTAAATTATGGAATAATAATAACTGCTATTAATAGTTATTACTTACCACGACCACTGCGACCAAGAAACCGTAGATCACTAAATCGTGCTTCATGTCCATGCATTATTGTAACTGGGTTTTTTAATTCAGCACATGGGCGTTCTTCATTTCCCGCTGTCACAGTCACACGTGTACCATCTGGTACTGGGATTAAACTGACTACACGAAACTGACTAGGTAGTGATTTATTCGACCTCCAATGTTTAGGTAGTGGTGTACATAATAAGTGTGGGTTACTTGTTGGAGCCAAATCTGTGGTATGTTCACGTAAAGCACGTTTCAATGTGTATTCAGCCAGAAGAATATCTGACATCTTTTTTTATTTTGTTAAAGTGTTAGTTCAAGTAACTTATCAGAATGTGAATAAACAAATACACTTTCGTTATCGGTGTTTTTTTCCAATAACTATGATAATTGCATGAGAAAGTGACGACAGAAATTTCAGTTGTTTAGACCGTTAATTGTGCTTAAATAATTTATCAATGTGCACACAGAGTATAAAATAAGTATGTCTTGTATCTGGTTCAATTATTATACATACGAACCGAATTGAAATTATGACAGGTGAATGTTTGGTTTGGTTATTTTATTGATGATGATGATGACGATTATGACTATGATAAATTGTCACACTGTGGCTTCTAGTTTTGCAGATAGTATATATATGCATGACATATTTTGAAGTGCGGAAATGATGGTTTTGAAATGCTACATGTACTTGTGTTTGTATGTGTGAATAGCCCACTAATACATAATTTAACCACTCATTGGATAATGCTCTGAATATAATCTAATAATATTAGAAGTTATAAGAATCAGTGTTCGTGTGTAGGTGAGAAACGTAAACCACTCCACAATTATGCTTAGATAGTGAGATTAAAAAAGGACAGTCTGACTACAATCTGATTTGATAAGAAAGGGGTTTGTGGAGAGCATGGAACAAATTTTAACAACTCAATTGTAATATTTTGTATACGAGCAGTTAATTTGTTATTTAAGTATCTCTATGTTGGTTTCCGTGGCCGGTGTAATAGTATTTGTTGGTGTCACTGAATAGGTAACTAAATGCCTGTTTGTGTTGATTATTTGTTGGTTAGTTGTTTTTTCATTAACTTTAAGTACATACATGAAAAAACCAACCTGAAAATATCAAGGTGAGACAACAGATGCGGAAAGTGGTGATCTACTTAAATGATTGGTGAAAATTTCTAACCCCTCAAATTGTGGATAGACTGAAAAACAAAAATGAATACTACAGATTTTGGTTAGGGGAAAAATGGGCAGAATATCTGGCCACAAATAAAAGCAAGATACATCAAATCAGACTTTGTTGGTTAGACCGATATTTGTTTGTTTGACACTATGTATGTGCGTATGTGTATGCGAATGAAGTAAAGTATGAATATACCAAAACATATCAACATAAAATTAGTATAATTGTGTATTGATGAATATCATTTTACTAAAGGAAGAAATAATGTAGATAATTATTCCGAATACTTTTTCTTCCCTACTTTATATTTGCAGTTACTTTATATGGTTACTAATGAATATATCAAATATGTGTTTGTGTGATTAAGTGAATAAATGGTTGTGTCCATTCAAATACTCAATCATGTGATCCTAGTGACTGGCTTCATGAGGTATTTCGTGGAGTTCTAGTGAAAAGTCGTGGTCAGTAGAGTTCAACCGTGTCTGTTGTAGAGGCAGTTACTCACTGAAGACAATGGTGGACGGTCGCGAAATATCGTGGACTGGTTGAAATTAGATTTTAACACCGTCGGATGCCGGCTCAGCGGTCTAAAGGTTAAGCGTTCGCCGGCGAGACTAAAGGTCCTGGGTTCGAGTCCCACGTGCAAGGTCGTGGATGTACACAGCTGACGAGCCCCATACTGGGACGAAAAGGCCATTCAGTCCTTTCGGGTTTTCCATGGTGGTCTAGCTTTAATGGAATCATGAATTCAGCTAATAAAGTTTAAAACAAATACTATCTACTTTAAAACGTTTCTTCTCTAAAATGAATCGGATTTCAAATCATTACAAATAATTCAAATGTTTTCTGGAATTCATCTACTATTAATTCTTTATAATTTTTTACCAAGTAGGTTACTTATTCTCTATTTTCAACTACCTAACACTGTGAACTTCCACCATATTAGTTTAGACTGAAACGTTCGAAGATCCTATGAGGTAGTATGCCCACTTAATACTGGAGCGCTTTGCTATATGACAAATAACCTGTTTAACACTTCTTCATCTTAAATTTTTTTCCAGTTCATTTGGATTTAACAAAAAAATGGAGTGTAGAATTAGATAGTTTTATCCTCAGTCTACCGACTTAAATTCAACTGTTTAGGAATAACATTATCAAATTAAATAAGATAATTAAGAATTATTAATTATAGTTGCTTTAGACTGACAAGTTTTTGAATTATACATATAATTTAAAAATATTAAGAAGCACTTCTCTTTTGAATAATCCATTGTTAGAATTACGATTTTGATTGGTTTGTTACCCTGTAGGTTCTCTGGGAGGAGAACCCAAAAACGGTGCTATGTTATCGGGAAATAGCTGTTTGAACCTAGATGAATTGGTTCGAAATTACTTTATTTCTATCCATGATAGTGACGTATTCTGTTTGAATTTTTATCAGTACAATCCAACTGTTTTTTTGGTGTAAATTAAACATTTAATCACAAAACGAAGTAACATCGATTTTGATCATAAGATCAACGGCATAAAATTTCTGATAATCGTGCATTGTGAAAATAGACCCTATTGGGAAACTTAAACCTTAAAGAAATGACACTTTCTTATCTTCTCATAAACTGTTAATTAAAATAAAATATGATTACGACTATAACCTAAAGGCAAATTTCACATGTGTATTATTTTTACGTATCTACTGCAAATACAGTTAGTACTACTACAACTACTACCACTACCATTACTACTACTACTACTACTACTAGCTAGCTAGAAAGGATTTAAGTAGATTTTTCAGTAACCCCTTCCTTTTTGAAAATTAGTGTTATTGCAATTAGTTCTTTTTGTAACTTAAAATTATCAGAAAAAGGATAATGAATTGACCGAAACAATTAATGGAAACGATAAAAAGCAAATAAACAAAATGAATTACAATATGTATGGATATTTATAGGCACTTATTTGAATAATAACAGGATATTTGATAATATAAATACAGGAGCGTAATAAACAAAAGGAAATAAATTTGACAATACAGTTTTGTTATTTTATAGAATAACAAGGCGGGAGGCTAATTTGATAAATCAAAATGAATTATCGTAAATAGCTATTTAACAGAACGATTCAATGGACTGATTTATCAGAAAACAAGAATAAAATAATGGCATGTATAAATAAGGCGAAATTATACTGAACACATCAAAATCGAATTTCTTTTTTCTCCCCCCTTCAGTTTTGGATTGTTATGAAAGGTAAATACAATTTTAAGTGTATTCATTTTAACCATTGAAGGTTATATCTGTTCAATATTAATGTCAATAACTTTGTAGAAAAACGTGTCATCCAGAATTCGTTAATTTATCGAAGTAGCAACAAGTTAGCTGAGTAATTTAGAGAAAACCTTTAAGGATACAAGCTTTACATACAGATGTAATTAGCTAGCATTATATTTTTCTCATATGAACGTAATGATCAAATACAAACAAAAATCAGTTTAATTCATTGGCTACAACTCTCCATACCAATGATGCCATATGGACTAGTTACAGATTTACGAATTATATGAATAAATTTTAATATAGCCAACTCGGAAAGTAAGAAATGATAATAAAAGACAGTAGGGTTGTGTTGTAGATTGAACACATCCGTAGATTGTCTGAAGTTGGACTTATTGCTTGGAAACACCTTAGTTTATACTTTAGTTAGCCATCAGAATATTTTGATAGCTCATACTGCTATGATTAAATTTTTTGCTTTCGTAAGGAAGATACGACTATTGATAGGATGATAATAAACCTCTAATGCTAAATAGTTTGTTTAGATCGAGTGATGAACTCGGACATTACTCAATCTGTTGGTCTGCTAATAAACAAAAGCCTGAATTGCTGAATATTTGAAGACCTATGCACAATCACGAATGGACATTTAACTATACCAAGCAGTATATATGTTAGAGTATAAAACAAAATTTTTAAATTACTTGACGCCTAACTATAGTAAATCAGTTTGTTCACTTCCCAATGGGTTTAATGCTAATTTTTGTCTATTGACATACAAATTAATGAATTTCTCCAATAATAGTCTTCTATACAAATGCTCGTCAGTGTTGAAACTATCAATAATTTTAAGTCTTAATTAGTTGTAATGTATTCAACCGTTAAATGTTTAATGACGAGATAGGAATTTGATTTTAGTACTTTTCTAAAGAATAAAATGACTCGGAATCACTGTCAGTTTAGTGGATATGTAATTTATATTTGCCTCTTAAAAAACACAAAGCATTTGTTTGTATCTACAAAAGACTATATACACATAGAATTGAGTTAGTTCTGGTAATGAACATTCTCGTTTAGATTCACGTTGTTCATAAAGTGGATCTTCGTTTATTTGTTCTTTTTTTAGACGATACAAGGAATACATCTGATACACCAGTATTACACACATATATAAGTATCATCAATAATACTGACAACAAGTATCATATTACAATCTGTAACACACATAGAGAAATAAACAAATAAATGGTTTGATTAGTAAATATATAAAAACTATAAATTTATGACAACTTTGCCTAAAATCTAAAGAATTTCCATCTGTTCTTTGATCAGTAAAATTTTAATTTTATTGAGATCCATTTCACTTTCTACCGTTCAAGAAGAAGAAAAACATGATCAAAATAACATGTATAAGCTCGTTTATTCTAGCTAAATGCGTCTAATGATTTTCAAGCAGTTTATAAACAATCAACTGTTCTTTTTTTTTCTTCAAATGGGACAACCATCTGGTGTCATCGATAACCAGTTTCATAAAATATAAGTTTCCCAATCATTAAATTTTTTTAATGTTGACATTATTTTGGCCCCAACCACCCCAAAAATCTATAATTGATTTTTCTCGTCCATATATTTAGATAATTTTCTTGTAATGCATCTCTATTATCCAACGACAGTAACAGAATAAACAAGGTGTTTCTAAAGTCTTAAGTTCATTCATTATGTTGATCTATAAGTGTCTTTGGAACGTTATTTATTTTTAGTGACAGCTTTTTATGGTTATTACTTTTGATAAGTAGAGTTGGTCACGCGTTGCCAATTTTACTTTACTAACAGGACGGTACACCTGTTTCACTATTTCATATAAAATAACTCATAATACATCTTCCTATTTCTGACTAAAATGACCTTATTTTTTATTTGTAATAGACTAGACTTGCATGTTGTTTAATCATATTTGATAGATTTAACCGTTTGACTAAGTAAACACCTAATTTATTTATATGGATACTTATGAAAATAAGATAGGCGAATGAAGACATTTACATTGTCATTTCCAAAATGAAAGTTATAACATTATGTTTGTATAATGAGATGAATATTTCATGTTTTTTCTTTAAGACAATATTAAGCTTGATAATC